GGTATCCTGCTGACATTTGTTTTTTAACCCATTCATAACTAAATTAATGGTTTTAGTCACTCAGGTCTCTTATTTAAGCTTGACTGCAGCAAATAGTGTTTATTGTGGCAAAAGAAAGTGACATTCAAGCCAACAAACTAAACAAAATCAAACATAAAAGATAGATTTTTGCATATTACCTCCTATACTTTGAGTTTTCTATATTTTCCATGTACTATCTTGGGTTGAGGGTTCATTATATACCCAATGTGTGCCTCTGTGTGCTGTATAACATTAGATAACTGCACATTATCACAGGCATCACCTGTTTGTTTAGTAAATCCACGTTATATTAGCAGCTAGAGGGCTAACCCAGATAGCAACCAAACATTAAACCACAGCACTGGTGATCAACTGTACACATTTTATTTAATCTGCTAACATTTGCGCCTGCCTCCTGTTTATTTTAGATTAAGATGCATAAAAGCAATGTCTTCAAAGTTACGGAGGAGTTTGTTAGCAAACACATCGGCCTGGTTGCGCATGCAGCCCGGGCCTAGCCAGTTAGCTTAGCCTTGCTAGTGTGCAAAAAGAGAAACAACGAGTTCATCGCAGCCTCATTAAAACTAACTAACGTGAAATACAGCTGCTCAAAGCCCTCGGTGTCCCTTTAAATGTGACTGTGTACCTGTTTTCTGGATCACCAACACACACTGGGTTTGTTTTCGGCCAGCCGAAGACGATGTTAGCGGGTTGCTGTCACACGCCTCCTTCCCCTCCCTTTACTACTGTTGTAGCGCCGCAGTACCGAGCGCGGCCTGCGGGGGGCGCTGCACCCCTCTCTCAGTTTATAATCCTTAGATACACAACAAAGGGTACGACCGAGCACTAGGGGTTAGGGTTAGGGTTGGTGGTCTTGTAATTGTCTTGTAATAAGGGCCAGACTAAGAGAAACATATATTTTAAGAGAAACAAATATTTTATTTTTTGTAAATTACCAGAATAAAGTCATAATATTACGAGAATATATTATTATATATTAGGTCTTCGAGTATAAAGTCGTAACATTGCGATAATAAAGTCGTAACATTACGAGAATAAAGTCATGATATTAAGATAATAAAGTCATGATATTAAGATAATAAAGTAGTAATTTTATGATAACTGTCAGCCGGTTCAGCCAGCAAAACTGTTTAAGGACGAAATGATCAATACGTTAGTTTACATGTTTATCTTACCTGTTGACTGTACG